AGGTCATGCACTGTCTTCATGATGCTGTAATGACCATTCAGATCTGATAGCTTTCCAGAAAGGGAGGGGCTTTGATGCCATGGCGAATTCTGGCGTAACGCCGTAATCTTAATATTCAATTTAATGGTGAGCTCAGAGGGGATGCTGAGTCAGGGTGAGGTGCAGACTAGGAGGCCATTCGCGGTTTCTGGTGTCGGGGTGGTTGACGTTTCTGTTCTGTCAGACGTGCACTGGTGCGACGGCAGACCGGAGCGGCGCGGAGCTGCGAGGGCCGAACGACGCTGCTTGCAGCTTTAATTATTTTTTGTTATTCCGTGCCCCCTTTGAACAGCTTTTTGGGGACCTTAACATACCCCAAAACTCACAATATTTTGCACACTTGTCAGGCCTGGTGAAAAATTTGATATTTTAAAGGTCCCAAAAAAATCGCAAAGAAAATGGCTGAACAGCGCCCCCTACAAAGTGAAAAAAAACCCTCTCCATAAAGCTTAGTTTATCGTACAGTTATGAAATTTGGTACACTTGTAGTACTCAACAGTCCGCACAGAAAAGTCTCTTGCAACCATGGTCAATATCAAACAGGAAGTCGGCCATTTTGGGTTGAAATGGCGATTTTTTGCCGTTTTTGCCGTTTTTAGGGTCCGTCTCTGATTGGATTGCTCGATCATTTTTCGCACGATCGTCTCAAAAATTGTGTAAAATTTCTCAGAAGGGATGGGCGAACAAAATGAGATAAGGATTCTGAGTTTTCGTATATGTTGAAGGGGCGGAGCCAGGCCTCAAAGTTTGACTACTCGCCAAAAAAATTTAAATTGCTATAACTTCATAATTGAATGGAATAGCGTTACCAAACTTTCTGTGGTCATTTGTCATCGACCCACAAAGTAAATTGAATGGTCGGTTGATGACATCACACAAGCCCCGCCCCCTCAGGACCAAAAAGGTCAAGTTTTACTGTGAAAGGTCCCAAATTGCCCCATTTCACTTAATCACCACAAATTTGGAGCTGGTAACTCAAGGCAAGTGGGGGTTGCTTGGCGTCACTTTATGGGAGTTTTCGGCAGAGGGCGGGGCTGTGGCGGCGCGGCGAAGTAAGGCGTACCGCCGTGGCCTTACGTTTGCCTCCCATTTCTTTATTTCTAAAGATGTCGTCACGAAACTTCTTGTGAGTGATCCTAGTCTGGCCCCCCAAAAAATCTGACGTGAAAATCCGGTGGGCGTGGCCAATTTTCTGAAATAGCGCCCCCTAGGACCATTAAAACTGTCAGCCCCAAGCCATGCTTTGACTGAGGATTACGAAATTTGGTACACTAATGTGGTGTCTCAGGACCTACAAAAAAGTCTCTTGGAGCCAAGTGCAAAGTCGCACAGGAAGTCGGCCATTTTGGTCCAAGTGCGCGATTTAGTTGTTTTCGCACACGTTGTTTGGAGAGTGATGCTCCGTCGCCCTTTTCACCAATCTCCTTCAAACTTCTGCTATATACTCTTAAGACATAGGGGAAAAAATTCAACCGTCGGATTTTTCAAAAGTTGAAAGGTGTGGGCGTGGCTAAGCCTCAAACTTTGAACTGTCGCCACGCCACTCTTTTTTTCACAGCTCCCTACTGGACTCCTTTTACCCAAACACCAGGATTCTGTGGCAAACAGCAGTAGACAACTTGAGGTTACTTGGTCTCCAGTACTGGCAGGTTTTGAAAAAAGGCGGGGCTTTGGGAGCATGGCGAAAATCACCATCACGCCATGGAAATACGTTTGCCTCTCATTCCTTAAGTTATCGAGATATCACCTCGAAATTTGTTGTGAGTGATCCTAGTCTGACCCCCAATAGAAATGGACAGCTAAAATTTGTGGGCGTGGCCAATTTTCTGAAATAGCGCCCTCTAGGACCATTAAAACTGCCAGCCCCTAGCCATGCTTTGACTGAGGATTACGAAATTTGGTAAACTAATGTGGAGTCTCAGGACCTACAAAAAAGTCTCTTGGAGCCAAGTCCAAAGTCGCACAGGAAGTCGGCCATTTTGGTACAAGTACGCGATTTAGTTGTTTTGGTACACGTTGTTTGGAGAGTGATGCTCCGTTGCTTTTTTCACCAATCGCTTTCACACTTCTGCTATATACTCTTAAGACGTAGGGGAAAAAATTCAACCGTCGGATTTTTCAAAAGTTGAAAGGTGTGGGCGTGGCTAAGCCTCAAACTTTGACCTGTCGCCACGCCACTCTTTTTTCACAGCTCCCTACTGGACTCCTTTTACCCAATCAGCAGGAATCTCTGGCAAATAGCAGTAGACAACGTGAGGTCACTTGGTCTCCAGTACTGGCAGGTTTCAAAAAAAGGCGGGGCTTTGGGAGCATGGCGAAAATCGCCATCACGCCATGGAAATACGTTTGCCTCTCATTTCTTCAGTTATCGTGATATCACTACGAAACTTCTGGTGAGTGATCCTAGTCTGACCCCAAGAGAAATAGACAGCTGAAGTTTGTGGGCGTGGCCTATTTCCTTAAATAGCGCCCCCTAGGACCTTTTAAACTAATAGCCCCAAGCCATGCTTTGACTGAGGATTACGAAATTTGGTACACTAATGTGTTGTCTCAGGAAAAAAAGTCTCTTGGAGCCAAGTGCAAAATCGTACAGGAAGTCGGCCATTTTGGTCCAAGTACTCAATTTAGTGGTTTTCGCAGACATTGTTTGGAGTATTATGCCCCATCGTCCTTTTCACCAATTGCCTTCAAACTCCTGCTATATCCTCTTAAGACATAGGGGAAAAAATTCAACCGTCGGATTTTTCAAAAGTTGAAAGGTGTGGGCGTGGCTAACCCTCAAACTTTGACCTTTCGCCATTACATTTCTTGGCTTAATAACTCCCATGTGCATGATCTAATCTATATCAAACTTTGTCTGTGTGATCACTGACCACATCTGAAGACAATGCCAATGTGGACAGCTGACATCCCCTAAGTCCCGCCCTCTACTACAGGAAGTCTATTGTTTTATGGTGAAATGCCCATATTTGTCATGATCTGAAAGCTTTCCAGCGGCCCTAGATAAGTTTAACCTACAATAACTTCAAACAACGTGGTCAGAAAAGCATTACAGTTGGTCTGTGTCATCAGATCCACGAGAGTCGTAAAGGTAGAGTATGCCCTAGTTGTGAGACGTGTAATATAATGGTGTCCTCAGAGGGGATGCTGAGTCAGGGTGAGGTGCGGACGAGGTGATCGTTTGCGGTTTCTGGTGTCGGGGTGGTCGACGTTTCTGTTCCGTGGACGTGCCCTATTGCCCCGGGCTGCCGGCCAGGCCGGAGCGGCGCGGAGCTGCGAGGGCCGAACGACGCTGCTTGCAGCTTTAATTCCAGTCTGTAATCCTAGCAGGAGGCAGTGTCAGTTATCTTAAACCACTGGGAAAATAAAGATTGTTAACTTTACGTTGAATCTGACCGTTTCTTTGGTCACAACATTTATACTAATCTGGAAAAAATACATTTGGGACAAAAAAAGTTATGACATTTTCCACCAGCAGTAACCTTTCTGACACCAACCAAATGACTAAAGGTCCTTTTCCTTAATTATATTATATTATACATTAATATAAATGACTAACTTTGTTTATGTCAGCTCTGTGATAAATCAGAACAGACTAAAGTGATTAACAGCAGGGCAGAGTTGTACAGGCATCAGAAATTGGTATTGGCCCTTAAAGAATCTGAATCGGTGCGTGAGTGGCTGTGAGAACAGTATCCAGACTTCTTGCTACAGTTTGGACACACAAAAAAACCCTCATGGGGTTTGGACCAACAGCTGACACACTCCCGCCCCCACGCCCATCAGAAGCTCCAGAGCTGTTCTGGGCCTCGGGGGTGTCACCACAACCAGCCCGAAGTAAAGACACAGCTGTCAGAGATAAACATCAGCTCTCCCCGCATGAGCCCCGCCTCGGCTCGGGCCTGGCTCTCTCCACAACCGCCTCCTTTAACGTTCTTGTCCCCGCTGACACTACAACCCCACCCCGTCCTCCGCCTGTTGAAGAAGCTCCAGACTGACGGAAGGCTATGGCGCGTGCAGGGGCGTGTCCACGCCGCAAACAGACACCGTCACGACCTCCCGACAGCTCTACCGCGCACCGAGCAGCGGCTCCTCCGGCTAACATGTCCGCTCGACTCGCTCCGAAACCGGCCACTCACCTGCTCAGAGCCGCAGCTGGAACCCAAGTTCGGGGTTAAAAACCACCGAACATCGTGAAACTGGCGTCGCACGCTCTGACATCCGGATGGATGCAGCGTGACCTAATCAACTTGCGTCAAGCTAATTTGGTGACGACATATTTTCCGCTATGAATTGTCAAAATAAAAGCACCGTAAATTATATTACATGGAAAAGTATCAAAAGGATTACAACATTGTGACAGTTAATTACAAAATACAGGTCTATATTTCACGTATCTAAAATAATTTATTTGTTCGGCTGTAAAAACAACATGTTTCAATATTAAATTCAGAGAGTAAACAGTTTAAGGCTGAATAAAATGGAAATTTCACCTTTAAGACGTCATGAGTTAACAGGAAGCTAAATGATCGAATATTTAACTTTACTAACTTCTATGCGCGTTCAAGGTTTGACAGCGCACCCTTGTGGCAACAATAGAAAAAGCTGATTTTTCCAGGAAGTTTAAATAAAAAAATAATTTCGCTTAATGAATTTAAGGGTGCTGTGCTACCGTAGTCCTAGACTTTGAAATAATACTCTCAGTGCAGTACCCAGAAATGACGTTACTTTAACAGTAATGCTATAAAAGCATTTGTTAGATTAAACATTTAATGATTCCCTCAAATAAGGACTGAAAATATCCATGATTTGAATTTAAAACCCAAAAACTGAGCAGGGACAAAACCAGATCCAAACTATGATACCACCACCACTGTGTTTCACAGGTAAATAGATTTAATGCTGAAAATAATCTCATTCCTCCCAAAACATTAATCAATAAAACCCCAGAGATGAGAAACTGTTTTGTAAATGAAATCAGATTTTATTCAATGGAAGAAAAAACAAAACTTTCAGGAAAATACAGCAATTCCCATAATTCACACAGAGAGGACATAAATTAGAAATGGAAAAAAAGACGTTTAAGGGGAGACGTGTCACCTGGGTGTTTTTATTTAAGCACTTGCTGCTGCACAGCCAGAGGTCCCACTGAGCAGGATGTCAAGGAATCAGTGCCACGACACGCTGGACTGGAGCAAAAAACGTATTATCCCCGCACAGGACACGTCTAAATGATACAAAACTGGTAGTGGGGGAAAAAACACTGCCCTCGAAATAAAACCATAAATATTCATATTGACACATGTTGGTGTAACAAAACAACTGCTTATGTAAACATTTTGAACATAGGGTGTGCATTACAATATTAAAAACCCACTGCAGTCACATAGTTATCTGAAAGGATAAAAATGGCAGATAGACTAAAAACTTGTTTTAAATATGCCGCTTTAGTTGATGTCATCTGAAGTGGTTCTGTAACACTGCTGTTCGAGTTGGTTTGATTGTTTTGAAGACAATCGGATCGTAAATGCACCTGATGGTGATGTTCTGTTGCTCTCAGCGGGTCCACTTCCAGGCTGTAGGAGACCTCCTGAGAGCAGCCGACTGCTACAGTTCATCAGAACAAAAGCTGCAGCACAAACGTTTTACATTGGAGTAAAGTAAAAGGTCAAGTCACAAAGTCTTGCCTCGTCATTTATGAAAAAAAATAAAACAAATCTAGGACAGGTAAGGGTGTGTGTCTACTGGACTGAGTTATGTAAACAAACCGCCAAGTGACCTTAAAGAGGTCCAACATTGAGCCACGTGGCAGTTTTGGACTAAAGTGTTCCTACAGTACACAACATCCAAATGTCTTCGGCTTTTGGATACCTTTTAATCCTCTGGAGAACGATCGGAGGCCGACACCAAGAACTCCCTCAGAGCTAATTGGTCGTACGTTTGCAACGCCATGATTTTGCAGAATGTTAACAGAGATCTACGCTACCTTAACGGCCACCCGCGGTCCCCGCATCTTCTTCACAGTTTATCCTAGCCCTAATCAGAACGAACGTCGAAAGGTGGGCGAATCTCACATTTACTGGTCTGTTGTGTGTGTTTGTAGAAAATTAACGAACGATTGTGCGAGAAGAAGCCAAGTGACACCATGAAAAAACCAGACCGCTGAAAAAGGACAAGTCGAGGATAAATATGACATATTCCTTTGCAGCCCGTCTTGTTGCGGTTTCTTCATACGCAGCAGGAAATACAGTGTATGTTTAAGAAAAGGGGGTTTATTCTGTTAATAACACCAAAGTGTCATGCTGTCATCACAGGGATACTTCTGTTCGACATAACTTACAGCACATGAGGCAGAATGTGGAGAACCTGCACCAGTCTGGGGGTAAAACGTACAAGCCGACGTCCAGAACCCTGCTTTAAACACGAAGAACGTCCCTTAGGAGCTCTTCGCTTTACGGAGGTGAAGGCAGAAGACGCAGATTTACACGTCAAGGGTCGATTGTTGTGAGCTTGACGTGGAAATCCTCAAACCTGAACCAAAACACCGCTACCCTCAAGTTTGTCGTTTCCACAGAGCCGCTCAGACGAACATGTGTTGCTATTCACATACAAGACGTTTTTATTACCATGACACAAAGATGGACAGGTTCCCGTCTGGGGGAGACGAGAGGAGAGAAATGGGCTCGAAGGGTTGGGCAGCGAGGCTGATTATGTTCATCCCTGAACTTCCTCGTGATTACAGTCCAACCCGGGATTTGGTCGCCTGAGCAGGTGACAGGAAGTGGAGGAACTTCTCCAGCTCAAGCCGAGGTCGCATCTAACCTTTGATCATCCTGTTGGCGTCTGATGGAGGACGCCATCTACCAGCTCATGAGGGAGGTGCGTCCCAGGGTCATGAAGTACACCTGGCTGGCTCCTCCTTGTCGCACGGAGGCAAAGAAAACCTGAGAAAGCAAAAATAACAAACTTAATATTTAAGAGAAAAGCTGAAGCCAAAAAGATTCCCGTCCTCACCTTGTCGTTCCTCTCGCAGAGGAATTTGAGTCTCTGGGCTCTCTTGTGCATAAAGACGCCGTCCAGATGTCCCGTCTCCACTGAGCGAATCTCTATGGCCTTTTCACCCCAGCCCATTATCTGGTTCGACCTAATGTAGGCTGGAGCCGAGGATCCAGATGTTACTACCGCTGCTCAGTTATTAAGACGCCTAGGGCCAAGAGGTCTGCTCACCCACTGAAGTTGGCATTTCTCCCCACTGTAGCACCACGTCCTTGGTGATCCGCCCGTAGGTGTTGACGTAGACGCCCTCGTCCTCGTAGCACACCAGCAGCTCGATCCCATCGGTGTTGGGCAGGATGATGATGGCGTGGCACTGGATGCTGGTCTGGATCTGAGGAACAAACGCGGGAGATCAGAAGGGAAAACTCCCAGGTGCGGTTGGGATGGACGTCGGAACGCTTACATGTGTGGGCAGGTAAATGTCGTAAACTGCACCGGAGTCCACATCAACGGCGTGGAAGCCTGAGGATGAGCCGTAGATGACCTTCAACCTCTGGCCCTCTTCCACCGTCAGGTCAACCAGCAGAGGCTTGTGCACCAGGTCACCAAAGGACTAAAACCAACCAGGTAGTTAAATAAGAGAGCGAGACGGCACTCTGATCATAAACGGTGAAAGGCGGTTTACTTTGAAAGCCATGAACTTGTGGTAGGGTTTGGGGGCCCAGGCGTACACCTCCACTGCATTCTTCAAAGCCAAGACCAGAAATTTGATCCTCTCATACTTCACTGGAAAACAGAATAAACCATGGGAGAAGGTTTGGACACATCTTTGAGACACATTAGAGATCAATTTCAGACATCAGTTAATGACGAGAACATACCGACTTTGTAGTGGACACAACCCTCCAGGTCGCCCACGTTGACCCAGCCCTGCTTCTTCTCCACCTCTGGGTCGTTGTGCAAAATCTTGTTTCTGAGCCACGACAGGTAATACACGCGCAGCTTGTTCTTTTTACCTGCAGAGGAAGTCACAGGAGCTTTTTCAGAGGAGGAACAGCATCTTCACTCAAGATGTCCGAATCAGGGACCGCATCCTTCCTAGGCCGTGGGAGTGTGGACAGAGAGTGGACGTACAAGGGACAGTGACGAGGACAACAAGCTATGGATCTATCTGGCATTCATCCGAGCCTGGATTATTCCCAGTGCATGCTGGAATATAAACGCTGCACCAACATTCTCCTTTGTCGTCTTCCCCTGGTCCAGCAAGGATGTTAGCAACACAGGCTAAAGCTAGCACTAGCTCAGCTAGTGTTGTTCTGCAGTTAGCATTACCACCGCCAACCAAGTTAAAGGCAGACTGTAATTTTCAAGCACTTAAAAGCTTTAAAGCTCTTTTAATGTCTGTTCATCAGACATCTCATGAGCTGCACTGACCACCAGTCCAAAAGGGGGCGGGAGCAATGTGCTGAGAGTACACACAGATGTGTTGCTCCAATCTAAACCTCCAGAATTACTTGACACAGCTGAAAAAGGCCCAGGTAGTCCGCACCTGATATAGTGACCAGGACGTTGAGTCCTTCCAGGACGTCCATCTGCTGGATTCGCCGTCGGTTAATGAGCGGGTAGACCTTCCCCTGACCGCTTCTGTCCAGAAGCATCAGACCGCTCTCCGTGCCCACCAGCAGGTTCACTCCTAGCAGACACACACAGATGATCAAACCCTCGTTTGGACGAGCAGAGTAACGACAAAACGCTCCAGCGGTGAACGCCCACCCCACAGTGCTGCACACAGGATCTCAGAGTTGAACCTCTTCTTGTACTTGCGGATCTCCGGCGTGTCGCTGGGCGGGCGGGTGTTGACAGGGTTGACGTTGACCACCGAGCCCTTGCGGGAAGCGTCGGACCTCAGCGGGTCGGGCAGACGGCCCTCCTGCCCAAAACCAGCTGCAGGAAGGGAGAAGATTCAGCTCACATCAACAGAGGAGGGAGGAGCGTTTGTTGTCATCACACCGGAGCGCGTTGCTGCCTTACCCATGTTGTTGGGGGAGCTGCCACTGGACGGAGAGATCTGGAGAAGGCGTGGGTCGATGAACGGAGTGAAGGATGAGGAAGACTTGTGTTTGGACATGGAGTTGTTCTCTGACTGGGACTGTGAAGATACCCAGACATTTAATTGCTGTTACCAACTATAATTATGACAAACGAGCACCTAGATTCATGTTTCAAACAAAAAAGATTAATGAATGATGTGATGTAAAGTTAGATTTTTGGAGGCTGAGGAGAAGGGTTGTGTTACAAAGAGGAAAAACCCTGCAGAGCCCAACAGGTTAGAGGATTTTAACCACACACGATGCAACTCAGAGCTTTTACAGACAGAACAAATTGTTTTAGTGCAGACAAAACCTACAACACATCTGCCTGGAACATCACCAGCGCTGCTACAGCGGTTAATCTGAAGAAGCTTGGATTTAGTTTGCTCCGTGTTCAGACAACATGTCACCACCAGGAGGCGCCGGTGTTAGCAGCAGAGTGATGCAGAGAAAAGGAGGTTGCAGCAGCTGAGTAGAGATTTAAACCGGGTGTCAGCCAAGCCAGAAGGGGGCAGAGGTGAGCAGAAGCAAAGCCAAGAGAAAGGAAGCGGAGACGGGAAGGACGGCATGGTTGGTTTGTACCGACTTTAAAAGGTTTCATTAGTTATTTTAGTTTTATTAAGTCATGGAATCATGAAGACGTCATCAAAAATATCAGATTGTGCTTTGTTAGTTAGATCTGTACAACCCCAACCATCCGTTCTTGTTTGCCTCGGTGGTGCCACATACCTCCATGGGAGAGAGCTCGTCCAGGGGGATCTGAGGGGGCATGGCAAGGCTGATCTGGCTAGATGATGAGGGGAAGGAGGAGGAGGAGGTGGTGGAGGAGGAAAGCATGGCTGTAGAGGAGGAGGGGGAGTGATGGCTCTGCTGGATAAGGTCAGGCAGGTGGTGAATGCGGCCCGGAAGGCCGTTTTTCTCTGGGGGGGCGTGGCCACGACCAGAGCCGGGCGAGGAGGAAGAGGGAGGTGAGAGACTGATCAACCGCTTTATGTCAGCTGTGCTCTGGAAGCAAGAACAGGCACACACACGGGCTGGAGCAAGCAGGTGGAGAGGAAGTGCAGCTGCTTCAGCATCACTGCACCACACCGCCACAAACATAACATCCAATAATCTGATTAGATTCTCCTTCTGTGATGTTGGTGCAATCTCAGGATTTAGTGTCAGATTATTGCTCTGAGGAGGACGTGGCTCAGATTCCTGCTTCTCACCTGTCTGAGGACCAGCGTGCCATCTTTGGATGGAGTGATGGCTTGTTCGCTCTCAGAGTCCTCCACCAGCATGGTCTTAGCAGAATCGCTCTCTCCGTTACTCAGCCTCCTGCAGGAACCACAAGAACACAAGTTACAGCGTCGGACCAACGCTGTGTGTGTGTGTGAGTGAGTGAGAGTGTGAGAGAGAGAGAGAGTGAGAGAGAGTGTGTGAGAGTGAGAGAGAGAGTGAGAGAGTGAGAGAGTGAGAGAGAGAGTGAGAGAGTGAGAGAGAGAGTGAGAGAGAGAGTGAGAGAGTGAGAGAGAGAGAGAGAGAGAGAGAGAGAGAGAGAGAGAGAGAGAGAGAGAGAGAGAGAGAGAGAGAGAGAGAGAGAGAGAGAGAGAGAGAGATGGAGAGAGAGAGAGATGGAGACATGTGGTGGAGAGCTCGCCGACCGGAGAGTTTCTGGCTTTAGGGTTGTTTCGACACAAGTCAGGGACTCAGGTGAAATTACCCCGCTCTGGAGTCTTCAGCTCCAGATGTGGATTCTTCTCCCGCCTCCTGGTCCACCTCCTCTTCATCCTCCTCGTCTGTGGTACCCGACTCCTCGCTGGATGAGGAGTAATCCATCACCTTGTGAGGAGGTCGTACATCGTCCACCGCACGCAGCTCTTTGGCTAAAGCCGTCAGGTCCTTCAAAATAAAAGACTCAACCTTAGTTTATTAACTTTGTTTGCTGAAATAATCTAAAAGTCATCTGAAGAAACATTTAAAATTCACAGAGAATCAAAGATTCTGGAGTTGTTTATGGAACAAGTCGACCCCGGGCCAAGTTACAAATGTCAGGTTTGCTTCCTCCTGAGATCCCGCTAATCGTGGCTGTAGGAGGCGCTCAGATGAAGCAGCGTGTTGTTGGGAGCGTGGAATCAACTGATTAACAAATCACTTTGTGTCTCCTGTTAACATGCCCCACCCACCCCACCCCGACATGCTCAACGAAGCAAACAAGCCAACAACAAAACCAGGTGGGATTAGATTAAGGGCTATTCTGATGGGTGCAGACAGGAGGAGTGTGTTTTCAGGCTCAGGGAACTGCAGCAGGGTGGAGGAGGTGGGGGTAGGGGCAGAGCCTCTTTATGCAGGCAGTAAGCACAAGAGAACAAGTTCATCACGGTTTCTTACAGCGGGGACTTACCGCATCACCCTTAAACCCGGATAGCAGGACGGGTAAGACAGAAGAGAGGACAAATGGGACGGCAAGAAAAACAGAGCTGCTCAAGATCACATGACTTCAGTAAAACTTACAGCTGGTCGGGGAGGCCTGCAGGCGTTCTTCTCCTCCGGCTTTTTGGGGACGCTTTCAGGACGCTGGAAGGACACTCCTTCAGATTTAGACGAAGCTTGAGGGAAGAGAAGGGAACGGGAGTTAGTGAGGAGGAAACGAGACCGGACAATTAGCTCTGAGGCTTTAAGGAGAAACCATGAAAATATGTCAGAGTCACTGTTTACAAACAGCAGGATGGAAGAGTTAGTAGAACGTGGCCAAGTACAGTACCAGGGGACTCACAGCGAGGCCTGAAGCGGTCAGCTGGACTGGCCTGGGAGCTGGAGTTAGAGCCGGAGGAGCTGCCGCTGCCGGGTCGGGACTGCAGCTTCTCCACTCGGTCCCACAGGGGGCGCTGATCCACGTTACTGTGGATGGAAAAATCGTTTAGACACACCAAAACCTTTTAACAATTACACACACGACGAGCTTTCATGTGTCTTTGATCATGAGATCTAAAACCAAACCCCTTTCTGACCTGCCAGCGTTCCTCTGGTTGCTGGGTTGGGAGGGCAGAGGAGACTCTCGACGAGACAGGACGGGGGACCTGGACGTCGTCCTCACGGGTACCTGGAGGAGACAGGTCCAGGCGGCTTTTGTGACAAAATTATAAAAACATTCACATGACCACAAAGTTTAGAAAAAAAGGTAAATACTCAAGTTGCAAGAGAACCCAGAATGACATCACCCAGCTGAGACAGGAAACCTCAGTGAGGCCCTTTCACAGTAAAAGCATTTTTAATAGGACTAAAATTAAAACTTGTAACATCAAAAACATTCAAATGAAATCTGCGACTCCCTCGATGATATTAAAATCACCTCTTCACAGCTTTTATTAGGGGAATCTGCCCGTTTCACCTCAGAGAAGATCCAGATGTTCTTACATGTTTTGTCTTGCAGATTTTAAAAGTCAGAGAAAACCATTTTATTCTGGTAAATTTCTGCCTTTAATTATGGAAAATTGAATTTTTTTATGTAAATAAAGGCTCAGAAATTCTCAACTTGAAGCTATTTATTTGTCAGCACCATCAAACCTGGTTGAGGGTTAAACGGAGCCAAGAAGACACAGATGGAGGTGGTGGATCACAGGGGGAGGGTGGGGGTGGGGGAGAGCGGCCCTCGCCAGCTCCTTACCTTAGGAGGGACTTCCTCACTGCTGACCTGGCGTTCCAGCCGGCTCTGAGCCTGGTGGAGGGGAGGTTGGGGTTGGGGGTCAGGGCGTGCAGGTGATGGGTGGTGGAGATGGTGGGGGTCCTGGGAGCGCAGGTGGAGCTGTGCGAAGCTAGAGTTCACAGCGCCAGACTCGCTGAAGGACTGGGAGCGAGAAACCACGGGTGGAGGAGGAGAGGGCGCGGCGCTGTTGCTGCTCTTTAGAGCGGCCAGGTGTGACCACTGGACCTTAGAGGGGGTGAGGAAGAGGGGAGGAGGGGGGTGAAACAAGCAGACAACACAGTGAGACACGAGGGAAGAGGTGTGAGGATCTGTGCATACGTGTGTGTTACAGATGCACGCGTGTGCGGTAGACAGAACAACGTGGATCACAGAACCTCATCTGGGTTTTCAGCTTCCAGAGCACAGACATCAGCAGCAACGTCACGCCGCTGTTCCACGAGACGCGCAAGCGTTACGGAACGTCTGAAGTGTAGTAATTACCTTTTTGGTAGCTGGGTGTTTCCACCAGGTATGCAGCGGCGCGTAACGTCTGACATGAGATACGCAGCTAAAAACCGCCGTTTGAGTCAACAGGGCGGTTTCTCCGACAGCGGAGCGACGAGTCTGCAAGCAAAGCGCTGCGTCTCGCTGCTAAATTTACACGCAGGGTACATTTTTTTACGCACTTCACTTCCAGAACGCATCAAGCTCAGCCGTCCAGATCAGGTCACGCAGGAAGTCACATGGGAGCAGTGTAAAACATCTAGAAACTTTCAAAATAAAAGACGTGCAGATTTTTTTATTGCTTAACAAATGAACTAATACGTTGTTACCTCTGAAGAAAATAAACCACAGACCTTTGTGGATACATGCTTCAGTCTTTCTTCTTGTTTGTCATCACAAATTTCTGCCATGATTTTGCTGTGTGGAACAAATTCACGGCTGCTGTGCGTCTGAAATGCTCCTGATTGGCAGCGCCGCCGAGGTCTTGGTGAAAACCGGATTATAAGCCTGTGATAGTTTAGGTTTCCCCTGGCTCACACAGATCTTTAGACACCAGCGTAGGTGACTGTCAACTAATGACGCAGGAATTAAAGACATAAACATAAGTTTGCTCTTTTTTGTCTAAAATTAACGTTTTGTGAGATAACTAAAGCCGGGCGGACACTGTGCGACCTTTTCACCTTTTTGAGCCGATTTTCCACTCGTGCGAGAATCCACGAGATCGGGGCGAGTTTTGCGCCGAGCGTCGTGTAGTGTACAGGGGGTTACGAGAGGCGATTAACACCACGTGACCAGCTACCGTGAGCTCACACGGACTTCTGGCGTGTTTGATATTTTGCTCATCCCTCGTGAGGGTATCGCACTGTTGAAGCGGTGCTGCGAGCGGCTGCGACCCCAAAAAGTATCAGAACCGCTCACGGCGCATGCGCAATCCTGCATCAACACCGCTCGCCCACTATTTCCCTAATAACACACGCTGTTCGTTTTTATTTCTACACGTTTTTTTACTCACAAAGATTGTCAAGAAAGCGTGTTTGTCGTGTTCGTGTCAAATTAAACTGATCAGAAAACACAGATTTACTTTTCCTCATCCAACCCCATAAATCCCTGTGTGTCCTCCTGCAGCACTCCCGAAGGACAACAGGCAAGACAAAAAAGACTGACGTGTTGTGTAAAAACTGCTATTTTTAGCATATTTTTAGGGCCGACGTGTTGCTACCAGACGTACAGTGTGAGCACATGACTCGTGAGATCTGCCCTGCGAGGAAGTCGTACAGTTTGAGCTGAAGCTGAGTGCTACGAGTGAAAAAGTCGCACAGTGTCCGCCCAGCTTAAGTCAGTCTGCTACTAGTTAAACGAGAATTAATCTGATTATTATAGTTGAAATCTCAACAGGAGTTCTAGATTAAGGCCAAAATACCAGATTACCAAACACTCTTATTATGAAGGACTTTTATTGTGAAGGACTGAAGGAAGTCCTCTGATGCAGAAGAGTTAAAAGATCAGTTCTTATTCAACCAAATGCCATTTTTTTATAGTTTAGTCCCTTTCTTGACATTTGGACTTTAATCTCAAAGACTCCTCCTTATCTCAGTGTCCTCGTGACCCGAATACGCCGTCGTTCCGAGCTCCCATCAGGAGTTATCCCCATTCAGGGTTTCTGGCTAAAGTATTCCGAGGCATCAGTTGTGCCGACTCACACAGGAGGGATTTGGGATTTAGAAACAGGAGGTAAACTTTATTTCTGCCTTCTAAAGTAAGACTCTGTGGTGATTCATCAGGAAACACAAAAACAGACCTGGAGGGAGCCACGTCAGCACACACCAGATGGAGGAAGAGGAGGAAAAGGTGAGGAATGAGGAGTTACCTGGGGTTCCATAGGTCGATGCATGGCGGAAGACTCGGACGAGGAGCCCCCGTTGGAAAATGGTTCGGAGGAGCGGGGAGGCAGGGGGGGCTGCTTTGTAGGAGGTGCGATCTGAGGGGAGCCCTGGATGTTTTTACGGAAGCGTTCATCAGCCTGGGATTGAAGAACGGGAAAGACGGGATGAGAAATGACAACTCTGGATCTAAAAGCACTGATCAAGCAGAAGGGAACTACAACAGAAACTAGAGAAAAGTCCCATTTGTGTTTATTTGGATCCGAGTGAACGGTTTTCCTTCTGAAACAACAGTAGTTCCCGTCTCCTTTAGCCTGTATTACAGCTCCTTTAACTTATTTCTGGAAAAGACGACCGGTGAGAAAGACGTAAACATGCTTTAGGCCGGTTTTAGGCAGCCGTAAAGACACAAAAAGACATGAAGACAAACAAAAACAAATCGTCCTCACATTTAGAGTCAAAGGGAAGAGTTAAGGACACAGGAGAGACATTTTGCTGGTGGGACACATTGCTCTGGGTGCTCTGTGTTAGTTTAGGCCACATGCGATGGCCCAGTCATCACACATTAACCTGATCCTCCACTTCCGACGACAGTCCTGATCTGTCTGCTAACACCTGAGGTGTTGGGTGTGAGGGTCTGCTCTATCGTGTGTGAAGGCAAGCAAGAGGAAGCTGAAAAGAGCAGGCAGCAGGGCAGACAGAGCCGAGGAGGACGTTCACCTCTCCGATAGGCTGAGCAGGGGGACTGACAGGCTCCAAACTTTCTGCCTGGGGGGGTTTAGCGTCAGTAGGGGGTTCGTTCATAGGGGGGTGCGGGGTGGAGGAGGGGGAGCTCTGGCTGGGGCTGGTCTCATCAGCCTCCTCCTGGGATTCACCGCTGTCAGCAGGGACAGTCCGGGAGGCTCCGGAGGACTCAGAACTAGCAGAGTGGATGACCTGAGCTTGTGGGGAGGAGGCGGGGGGCAGAGTGGAGGTCTGTGGAGGTTTGCTTTGGTCTGAGGGGACTGTGGTCTGGTCGCCAGGCAGCTGTTTGGACTCATGCTGCAGAGACAGCAGGTAGGCCTGCTCCTGCTGCAGCCGCTTATGGAGGCGCTCAGCTTTGCGCTGCTCCTCCAGCTCCCGCCACTTGAACTCCTGTTACCATGACAACAAGCTGCTAATGAAGCTGCACACAAAGTCTGAACCATAGTTTAAACACACTTATACTTCTGCACTAAACCTCTACGCTCATTCTGAAAACATATTTCCTTTGTTGGCTGGAATTTCACTTTTGCCGAGTCATTATTGACACATTTATTTGTTTTAAAGGTGCATTATGTAGAAAGAAGTAAAAATGGCATCCTGTGACAAAATTTGTTTACTGCAACCACTTTAAAAAACACTGCAGCTTTTTGCTGTCCGTCGTCAAATTGCAATTGTCGGCGCTGCAGTATTAGCTCACGAGACGCGGCACCCCCACTCTCACCGCTGCTAAACAGCAGTTACGGCCCCCTTCCTTTGTTTTGAAAGGAGAAAAACTGACGATCCCAGCTGGATATGAAATATGTTCCTTCCAAAATGACTGAAACATTAGACTCTTGGGATTTTCTCACTGTAAATTTCTCACTCTGTTCTTACATACTGCACCTTTAATCATCACAATGAAAACAAAACAAATGAGCACGATGTAACATTTAAGTTCCTGACTGATTCTTAAATTTGTCTGTAGAGCTTATTTAGTCTCTTTTACTTACCTCAAAACTTATTTGTTTATTAAAGGCTGAATTACAAATCATGCCTTTTTTTGTTTGTATCAAAAAGTTTAGAACAGAAAATAAAATAAAACTTTATTGTCCACCGTGGTGGAAATTTTCCTTCGGCTCTCAAGAACTAAAAACATTCATGACACCATGTGCTCTGATTGGGTCTCATCGTTCACGTTGGTTAGGGATCAGTACAGCTCTTGGTACGAATGATTTTTTTATATATGTTTTTGGTTGCAAGAGGCACGCTAAAACGCCTTCCCGAACTCAAGGGTTCAAACTGACGGAAGAGAGGATGACTGCTGTATAAAGCAATGTTCCTTGCAGTGTCCTTCACCCTCAGCAGCCAACTGGGAGATGGTTTTTGTGGTCTTACTTATTTACCTCAAAACTTTTGTTTATTAAAGGCTGAATTACAAATCATGCTTTTTTTTGTTTGTATCAAAAAGTTTTGCTTTCAAAAAGAAAAACATTTTTTTTAAATGTTTATAACAAAAGAAAGAACGTAATTTTAACTAACTGTGGAAATACTGCAAATAAATTAAATGAATCGAAATAAACTTATTTAAAAAATGTTTTATTTTGAAAATGGGAAATTGTGTTGCCCCACCTGCAGACTTAGCATTTGTTTCAAACAAAAAAGCTTCAAGCGCAAATCAGGGAGAAGCCTACACAAACTTACTGGTTTTCAAAATAAAACTATATTAAAAAATTCTTTAGATTTTTTTTGGTTTGCACTTTTTAATTTTTTAACTTTGGTTTAAACTTATTTAGTTTGTAGTTCTTTATTAATAAAAAATAAATAAAATAAGCTTCATATTTGTAAAAGCGCAGCATCATTTTGAAAAGAACAGTTGCCACCGTTAGTTAGAAACGTTACGTACTGCTAACCCACCGTCTGCACTGCCTAAATACCCCTAATACTTCACTCTGCAGGGGGTTAAATCAACCTAGAAGTTTCCAGCAGGCCTGGCAGTTATCACATCTATAAAAGCAAATGCTAATGCTGTTTTGTTTTACTAGCTTGCTGCTTTTGCAGGACAAAGGAGTCTGCATGTGTGTGTGACACTGACCAGCAGCATGGCCTGTTCACGGAGGAGCTGCTCCTGCAGCTTCTCCAGGTGTCGCTGCTCCTCCTCCAGCTGACGTCTGATGTATTCCTGTCAGAGAAAAGAACAAATGTTTCCTTTACATTTCCATCTAAAACCCAGAACTCGCCCCTAAATGAGAACAATCCACCACCATGACAGATAATAAAGTCAACCTTGTTGTGCGAATATGGAAAATAAAATCCAACCTGCTCACGATCGTTCCTCCGCTTCTCGTCCTCGGCTCGTCGGCGTTCCTCCTCCTCTTTACGTCGGCGATCCATCTCCTCCATGCGCCTCTTCTCCTCCTGCTCGCGGCGGCGCTGCTCGCGCTCCTGTTGCCTCCTCATCTCGCGTTCTCGTCTCTGTTGCTGTGTAGTTTAAAAAGAAAACGTAAGGAGTCCGAGTATTCATGTTTTCATCTTAAATCCAAAAATAAAACATCATCCTACCTCCTCCAGCCGCCTCCTCTGCTCCTTCTGTTGCTCGATGCGCTTCTGCCTTTCAGCCAGCAGCTGGCGCTTGTACTCCTCCTGCTCTCTGAGCTGCTGCTCCTGGAGGAGCTGCTGGTGACGTAATGCCTCAGACCGCTCCTTGTTCTCCTGCTGCAGGCGGATGAAGTCGCGGCGCAGAGTTGACTCACCTGGCACGTTGACGATAGAGCTGAATGAAAGCGGATAAAAGGTCATTAAAGGTCTGGCAGGTGGAAAGGTAAACTCATGCAGGTGTTAGACCACACCTGGGCTCTCCTTCCTGTTCTGGGGGATCCTCTTCTTCATCCTCACTGCCACTGTACTCGTACTCCGTCTCATCTGTGTGTAAAAACATCAGAAATTACACATTGACATGTTTCTCTAGTAAAACAGCAAGAAAAGCTGTGAAACGACAAATGTACCCTTCTCTCCTCTCTTCTTCTTGGTCCTGTCGATGTGGTCTTTCAGCTGAATCCGAACTTGCCTCTCGTTGGGCTGGTCTCGAATGAAGGGGTGCTTCAGCAGCTGCTCTGTCGGCGGGCGCTGGGTGTAGTTCTTCACCAGACAGCCCTCTATGAAGCTAAAAAACTTCTTGGACCTGTGGAGAGGCAGATGAAACATCTGAGCACGGCATCTGTGGCAATAAAACAGAAGAATATGCCAACCAGCTCTGATTACAAATGACGTTTTCCTCTCAGCATCTCTTCCCTGTAGCTGTTTTTAAGTTTTGGTCCTCCTCTGCTTCCCTCACCCGTGGTGCCCCACAAGGCTCTGTGCTGGGCCTCCAGTTCCTCTTCAGTAGAGCCCTGCACGGGCCTAAAATCTGAGCCCGTGTCCAGCCCGGCCCGAGGAGGTGGAGCCCCAGCCCGACCCGGTCCGAAAAGGTTTTCAGGATTCTCTGGCCCGACCCGAGCCCGACTTTTTTTTTTAACCTTTCATAATGTTTTAGCGTGATAGCATTCTAATTATCTGTGGGAAGCGTTCTGCAGTAAAAATAAATAAATAAATAAAAAATAAAAACAGCATTCAATGCAGCTTTTTTTTTCTAACAGAGCGTATTTTCCGAGCGGCAGATGAAATTTACGAACACATATTAATTTAATCTGCTCTGAAAATGCGCTCTTGTGCAATTAGAAAAAAAAGCAGCATTCTAATTTTCTAACTGCGAGCGCATTTTCAGAGCGGCAGATTAAATAAACGCCCACAATTAATATTGCGTTTGTAAATTTAATCTGCCGCTCTGAAAATGCGCTCTGCAGTTAGAAATAACCAGCAATGAATGCTGTATTTTTTTTTAAACTGCAGAGCGAATTAATTCACAGAAAAATGGAATGCTGCCGTTTTCATGAGGATAAACAAATGGTTTCTGACATATCAGAGTGGACATAAAATGGCATATTAGAATAGGGGCACATGTTTCAATCAGCAGTTTGAGAATTCATTTATATAGGCGCATTTATAAACCACACACACCTTAACTGAGCTAACAGGTGCTGCTGCGTTCAAGTGTTTCAGGTTTTTTTTTTATGAATTCGATTAAAAATAAAGGCGCCCGGCCCGTGTCCGAGGTAATTACACAGTCGTTGGCCCGAAGCCCGGCCCGACGGCCGGGCTGACCCCCGGGCCTAGGGCGACAGTGCAGGGCTCTACTCTTCAGTCTGTTCCCTCTCCAGCACACCCTGAGCTCTTTTAAAGGGATCTTTAACATTTCTATCGAGAGAGGCGCTTTAAAAAAAATATCATTTCTTCTTCTACTCTTCTACACTCTGAGGGTTTTTTTTTTTGCTCATCCTAAACTAAAGATCATACACATGAACAAGCTGCGCTGAACGTTTCATCACATCCATACCATGAAAACATCTGGACACACCACCTGCTGCTGTTCCAAGTAACATAGAATCACATAACGCTTAAAATAAATCAACATTTGATTCAAAAACCCTCATAGAAAGAAAGACTCCTGACACGTAAATAAAAATGAAGTGATGAGTGTTTTCTGCAGCAGAGGCTGCCAGAGCAGGTGTAACACAAATGTTCATCTCGGCAGTAGAGCACAAAGATGTCTGATTTAAGCCTCTGGAGCTGCCCGGGCTCACGTCTGAGATTAAAAAAACAAAATGCACAAGAGTGGAGTTAAGAAGCAGAAACACTTTAGGTAAAGGGCTAACTCACCATTTTTTGGATTTGAGCCTTGGAGGAGGGTTTCTGGGAATGAGGAAAAGCGCACGCATGGGGTGCATGTCACAAAGAGCTGCGAGGGGAGTCATCATATCATTAGGAACCCGAACAACAGAACCAACAAAAGGCGAAAAAGTTATTAAAACTCACGCGGTGCTCCTTCAGCCATCTCGATCGCTGTGATCCCACAAGACCACAGGTCACTCTGCAACACAGGAAAAATCCCACTGAACAAATGATCCCAAACGTTCCCACGTGAACATCGTGCAACCGTGTTAGGAGGGTTGGAGTCTCACCCTGTAATCATACGTAGCATCTGGGTTCTCATCACAAGCGATGACCTCGGGGGCCATCCAGTAGGGCGTGCCGATGAAGGTGTTTCTCCTCCCAACGGTACGATCCAGCTGAGCACTCACACCAAAGTCCACTGGAGAGGTCAGTGAGAATTAGTGAACATGTTTAGATTTGATATGAATCGACAGAAAAAAACAGCCGTCAAGTGAAAACTCACCAAGTTTGACTTCGGCGTTCTCTGTGAGCAGGACGTTCTGGCCTTTGATGTCGCGGTGGATCACGTGGTGGGCGTGTAAGTGAGCCAGACCCTGAGGAGAGCAGGAGGACACACTGAGCTTTGGTTTTAAACCCTAAACAAAACATAAACCTCATTTATTGACCTACACCTACTAACCCTATAACCCTATATATTTATTTTAAAAAAAGAGCAGCAAACATTAAATACTTAAGATAATCTGGTTCTATGGCGGTAATTTCCCGATGATAAAAACGATGGAATGATGAATGTCTGTCCACTAAATGCGGAGGAGAGTTTGTGAGAAGTACAGCATTTCTGTTTGTTTTGGACAAATGAAGAGAAATCAGGATCGGTTACTGAGCCCAAATATATCAAAAGCCTAGAACCCGCTGCCTTTCATGCCACGGTTTTAGCTCAATATCTGTAAAATCGACAATTGTTGCCATCTTTGTTAAGAATGACTAACTGTGGCAACCATGTTTAGTTCAAAGACCCTCTTCTGAAAGAGGAAATGACCTAAGAACACGAGTTATGCTGCCGTGTCACCCAGGTACCTCACAGCCATTTCATCTGAAGCTCGGGGAATACGGTTTATGCCACGCAACCTTTTTGATGCTTCCTGACGTTTTAGCCAGCTGGGTCACTTCTGGGTGGCAGTAACATTTTTGTTCTCTGTTGCGTTTTTGAAATGATCGTTGCAGGACTTGCCAAGGATAACCACCAACAGGATAATCCAGGGAACATTTAAGACACCATCTTCAAATAAATAGGGTTTGAGCAGTATGTGTCCACCTACGCTCACCATGAAGGTGGGTTAACAAGCTTCTGCTTTGTGTTGCTAAATGATGATACATGCTAGCTCTTTAGTAGCCAAAGTTAGCATAGTGTTGAAGCAACACTAACAATGTTAACAGAGTTAGGTTAACATCATGAGTCTTGTTTCTGCTAACATTGGTAGCGTGGCTTCTTTAGTAAAGAGCTAGCATACATCATTTAGCAACCCAAAGCAGAAGCTTGTTTACCTACCTTCATAGTTATGAATGTAGGTGGACATTTGGTCTTTATTTGATTATGGCGTCTGAGATTATCCCGTGTACGTTGTTGGTCGTTATCCTCAGCAGCACCTGCAGCAGTAGCATAAAAACGAGAACACAATGTGACCCGGAAGTGATTAAACTGGCTAACAAGTCAGGACGTGTCAAACCGGCATCATTCCTGTTGTGTCTATGTTTCTAGTCTCTATCAAATAAAATAATTTGAGGAAAAAAAACAGAGTAGAAGATCTCACTCTGAGGATTTCTCTAGATATGTAGGCGATCCAGTCCTCCTTCAGCTGGTTCCCCTTGGTGTTCTTCACCAGGTCTGTGATGGAACCGGCACCACAGAACTCCATCACCAGCTGCAAAGCAGACATGGAGGGTTAACACAGTGGATGTACGTGTTAGCTAAAAGGTAGTTATACAGCTATGGAGGTTCTGGACTGGACTATGGAGGACATACCCAGAGTTGGTCATCGTGTCCTGGGGGGCTCTTCTTAATGAAAGCACCATAATACGTGGCTATGTTCCTGTGGTGGGAATACTTCTTCAGCATGTTGATCTCCAGTTTAATTTCCTCCTCTTCATCCTGCAGAGACACAAAACCAGACCAACACAGCACTTGTTGTTTTTTCTTTTAACCACCCAGAGGAAATCAGTTTTTAATTATCTACTGGTAATTAGTGCAGTTTGGTTTCATTCACGAGGGTCGCGGGGAACAACCAGTTGGTGCTTCTACGGACTCTGCCACGCAACAACGCAGACGCTTTTTCAACGGACAAACGATCCTTTTGTTTGGGGATTAATGACGCATGACTGAGTCACATTGTGAGTAGATTGATGGTCAAATCGGTGAGACATATACATCAGTATCCAGCTGATTTGATCTTAATTAGTGCTGGAAAGGAAGCAGTAAATCCTGATTTTAAACATTTAGGTGAAATATTCCAATAAATACTACAATTAGCTAATTGGGGGGGGTTTAATATCTGCAGCAAATGGACGCAAAAGAGGAAGAAAGGAAGGGATTTTTGTGAATGTGGTAATGCCAATTTGCCAAACAAATGCAGCAATCTGTCCAGTTCAGTCTCAATGGGAAATGACCTTTAGTGCAAATGATGCCCACCATCAACTCTCCACAGAAAGGTCACCACTAGCTGCACCCAACTTGATGCTGATGAACGGTGACAAACTAATTGAACACATGCAGAGATCAGCCGGAGAGGGCTTTGCTTTGTGGCAACACCACCTCCCTTACGAGAAAGGAAAGATGAAAGAAGGCAGACTGCTTTATGATATAAAGTTTGAATATTTATATTCCAGCTGTTACCGATGTCAAAGGTTGAGCAGATACGCTTTACAACCACCACCTAAACAAAATGGCAGCAGAGCGTTTACACAGGCAGCCAGGGTGCTGCTGCATGACTCGTGTTGAGTTGACGTAAGCTTTTCTTCTCCCTCCCCATCGAACCCCTCTCTGCAGCGCAGCTGTTGGGTTATCACACCACCAACTATGAAAGCCTCGCTGCCACAAGTTACATGGTGCAGGGAGAGGAAGACGCTCGCACGGTGTGTCAGAGTGGAAGATGAAGGCTGGGATGAAGATCGGCCTCCTGTTGGGAATTAGATCCCATTTATTAATCATTATGGCCACAGATGCGGTTCAGAGAGTCATTTAGGATCTCAAATATATGAAATCTGACTTTTCATTTGCTCATCAGGGAAGAAAATCTCATTTAGGCGTGATAAAAAACTTAGACATTCAAAAACTGTATCTTTCAGTCATTTGTAAATTATTTTTGCTACTTAGAAATTAAAATCCGTGAGAGCTTTTTAGTGTCTGAGCTGCCGGGCGAGAAGTGGAGGAGCAAGTATGGGTCAGTGTGACCCTGGACAGAGCCGTGTGCCAGAGGACGAGCTGCACAGTCAAGAGATGATTATGGGAAAATTCAACCACAACACTGATAAAACTCTGAGGTGAATAAACCAAACATCACACTACAATCAGACAGTTATTGAAACCTGAAGCCAAATTAGATAAAAGATGGAGTTTGATCCCACTAAAGAGAAAGAAACGGTGCTGTGTCACTACGGGAGCCATCTATGTGCAGTTTCTGTGAAACCTGCCTGGGACTCTCACCAGCTCATACTCGTTTTAAAGGCTATAATAATAACCACGTTCACTTCATCTCAGGTAAATCCAGTTCTGCACCTTTGCGTTCAGCAGCCACCTGCTGTGTGTGAAAATAATCCGACAGAAGCCCTAAATCATGAGTTAGCACATGTCACAAACTCTCCAACAGACCCAAGAGTTGAGCAACGCTTCCATTAGTAGAAGAACTAATCAGTCGAGCCAGTTTCTGATTCACTCAGCTGAGGAGTGGCAGCAGACACGTCGGGGCACAAGGAGCGGCTGCCGGCTTCCTGATCAGGATGTCGCAGCACGCTGGGAATAAACGGAAATCTATGGGAACTAGTTGTCCCTTCAATTGTCTTTGTTGTTTTGAAGAAGGTGTAAAATATAAAAACAACACATAGTGGTCTACTTAATCCAAACAGCTGACACTCCTCCAGCGTCAGATGATGGACAGCTACTGTGTCTGAACGAGTCAAACTCTCATTAACCATTTAGTAAATTGTTTATATTCTATTTAGTTTTATAGTTTGTGTTGTTATTTTTATGCATTTAGCTTCATACCAACTTCAGATGATTATTTATTGTTAATGTTTATTATATTTAATGACACATTCATAGTTATATAGAGGTAGGCCTGATATATCGGGCTGACTGATATTTCAAGCAGATATTTACTTTTTTTATTTTAATCGGCAGTTAATATCGTCCATCAGCTGACGTCTCCTAAATATCGCTATCGGCAATAAAAAACTAACAGTCGACCTGTAGTTATTTATTTTTTATATTTATATGTACTTAGTCCTATACAAATACATTTCAGTGTTTCCCCTAGGAATTTTTCCAGCTGTGGTGGAGGTGGTGTTGGGGGGGGGGATTATGACATGTCTCACCTTTATGTTAATATTGTTTTATTTGATGCACTCCACTTTGAACTGCACCAATCCAGCGACTGCTGCATTTTAATAACTAGTATTAAAGGTGAATACACCAATATTTGCACAAGAATAATTTCTGTTTTAAACTCTCAGTGACACACTTTGCAGGGTGGATTTGGCATTTAATTTTTCTTGGCGTCTGGAAAAACATCTTCTTTTGCCCCCTTTATTTGACTCTCTGCCCCCTTTATTTTGGTCCAAGATCATTACTGGGCTGGCCCTATTAAAAACGTTCTACACCCCTGCTTAGTAGACTTAATGAAGTATTTTTAAGCCAGTATAAAAATGACTGAAACCCAAATTTACATATTTGGCATTATTGACCAATATCTTTGATTTAATTTATTTGTTAAGAACATCAAGATGCAAGTGGTGCTCGCTGCAGAACCACAAAGGCGGAGCTGCACCAGAAGGTGGAGCTGCACCAGAGTCAGCCCCGCCCATTCCAGAATCAGCCCCGCCCATCCTATCGGAGTCAGTCCAATTCCTTCCAGTTGTCAGACTTTATAGCATTCTGGAACCAAAGAGGGTGTTATAGCTAAAAAATGCAAGATTGAGGAGGGAGTTGAGAAGTTAATTGAACAGTTTTTGTAAAGGTTCCATATAATTAAAAATCTAACTTTTGGAACTTTTTACCATGTTATATTGTCATTTCCTCATAAGAAACACGCCAAAGCCATTTTTGGCCTCATTCATGCATTTTCTTCTCATCTCAGCTTCAATTTGGTCTCCTCCCCCAAAGCGGGTCTGGTCTTGGTTCTCAAATCTGGATATTCTGTGAATTTTCTGACAAATTATTTCTGAAATGACTTCTACTGAGACACCGCCAGAAAAATCATACATCCCATCTACAAAGACACACCAAATAACATGATAAAATGTAACGCCACCTACTTTTTATCAGATGTGGTGGTGTAGTGGTGATGGTGTCAGGTTGACATGCAGTTTTGCGCAGGTTCGCCTCCCAGCAGTGGAAATATTCTATAATCTCTTTTCCTCATTTCTAGCTACACTTGCCAGTACTATGTTTACAACAATTTATTGGTATGCCGTTTAACATATAATGACTAATGTGTTTTTTTTTATTTATTCATTCGTTTATTTAGCCAGTGTGAGTCCATCTGTGAGCAGAGTTTCAACTAAAATGCTGTTTAGGAACGACCAAATTCAAAGAACTTGTAGAGACATAAATATTTTGCTGAAAATGAACATTACAACTAAAATATGAACAAATCAAATGTTTCAGCTGGCTGAATAGATTGTTGCAGACCCCACCGAGAATCGAACCAGCATCAGCTGAGGGGAAAGCAAAACGTAAGTCAGACGATCTTGCCACTGGACTACCAGAACCCACAGGGAGGGGTTACATGCTGTTGTACAGGACTTTTGTTAGAACGGCTGTGGGCAGATATTCGCTACGAGAAACCTTTTTATTTCGGGATATATTCAGACTTTGTCATGTAGCAAGTTATATTTATCTTGTTTAATTGGAGCATAGAACATAGCGTTAACGACTGTAAACTAGTAACAGCCGTAATTCATGTGGGTCAGGTCAGTTTGCGATAAAGTTGAAAACAAAAACGGAAGTCAGTGGGCTAGGCTGAGTTTGCGTGAATGGGCGGGGTTGACTCTGGTGCAGCTCCACCTATGGTGCAGCTCCGCCTTTGTAGTTCTGCAGCGAGCACCCTCTCTCAAGATGCATTACAATGAACATTATAATAAGCTGGGCGGACACTGTGCGACTTTTTCACTCGTAACACAGCTTCAGCTCTAACTGTACGACTTCAGCGTAGGGTAGATCTCACGAGTCATGAGCTCACACTGTACGTCTGGTAGCAACACGTCGGACCTAAAATATGCTAAAAATAGCAGTTTTTACACAACACGTCAGACTTTTTTGTGTTGTTTTGCCCGTTGTCCTTCTGGAGTGCAGCAGGAGGACACACAGGGATTTATGGTGGTTGGATGAGGAAACGAAATAAAGAAAGTAAATCTGTGTTTTGTGATCAGTTTAATTTGACATGAACACGACAAACACGCTTTCTTGACAATCTTTGTGAGTAAAAAACGTGTAGAAATAAAAACGAACAACGTGTGTTATTAGGGAAATAGCGGGTGAGCGGTGTTGATGCAGGATTGCGAATACGCCGTGAGCGGTTCTGATACTTTTTGGGTCGCAGCCGCTGCTGCGCCGCTTCAACCCTCATGAGGAACGAGATAAATATTAAACACTCCAGAAGTCCGTGCGAGCTCAAGATTGCTGATCGGTAGCTGGTCACGTGGTGTTAATCGCCTCTCGTAACCCCCTGTACACTACACGACGCTCAGCGCAAAACTCGCCCCGATCTTGTGGATTCTCGCACGAGTGGAAAATCTGCTCAAAAAAGTGAAAAAGTCGCACAGTGTCCGCCCGGCTTTACTGTCTGTGTGTGTGTGCGTTGATGCCTGGGCCGAGCCGAGTCGACTGAGCTCCCGGCTGCAGTTTTGTGTGTAGGGAGGGCCGGGCGCTCTATCTGACTGGCCAATCACAGAGCGTGAAGACAGTCAGTTACCCAATGAGGATTTCATTCAGCACGATTACAGATATTTCCGAGTTTTACACTCGTTTCTTGCTCGTATTCGTCAAAAATGCTTTATCCGTACGCTCATAGCTGTAACCACCCTGCCCTGCCTCCTCCTCCTTGCTACCTGCCGGCTGTGATCACAAGCAACAACACAGTAGTTCCCGCTGCTTCTTCGGGAAACGGCGCAAAAAAAAAAAAAAAAAAAAAACAATAAAACTTGGGATGTTGTAGGCGTGGCGGTGGGATTTCAGCCTTGGCGGCCCGCCACGGCTACGCCTATGTAAGGGAAACCCTGCATTTAACAACTATTTCTTCTCATTTTTGTGATTAGCTGTTTAACTCGTCCACTGCCACTGACGACTAAAGTAGTCATTCGCACTTTTTTACTATGTGGGCGTCGGAATGAGCCCCCCGCGCCGTGAGAACTAACATCTCAGCTCTGAAGCCGATCTTCATCCGCATAAATCACACGTCACGTGATCAGGAAGCAGAAAATCCATGTGTTAGGAGATCGTTTTGGGCTGTTCCTGTAAAAAAAAAGTGAGGCGTGAACCGGAAAAGCGTCTGCCGATCACAATTCAACAACGGTTTATGAAAGAACGGATAAAGCTCGAAACGCACAGATTCTTCCTGATGTAAGAGGTGAGTCTCCGCTTTGTTTTGGTTGTTTTGGCGTCGACATCATCCTATTGCGCAACGTTCTGTGACTCTTAAAAAAACCCCAGTAAAAATGGTGAGAAACGCTGGCAGCGAAGGGCTTTACCGATCAGGAAACGGCTGGCAGTGAATGAGTTAAGAACTCACAGTTTGACAGTCATGCCATTAAACATATTATCTCTGCTACAGATGAACATATGCGCCAAATTAACTGAATCTTTTGAACAGGTTTTCAAAATGAACAATGAGAGTCGCGTCCTTGTAAAGAACTGTTCATCTTGTCAGATATTTATGATACAGGATAGTCAAAATTTAAAAGTTACATAGTTTTACATAAAATAATAGATTTTGTCCAACATCAGTGTTTACAAAAGCAGAAAAATATGTAAACAAACTGTTGGTTGAGACGGTAATCTGATTATGGTTTGCTAAAAATATTTTTTGTATCTTTAAGGAATTTGAGAGCAATATTGCACATGCTTACTTGGTCTTCTTATTGTTGTTGACTTGTTTAGGCTTACCTCTGTGACGTCCATGACTTTGATGGCAGCCAGCTGTCCAGTCTTGACATGTCGTCCCTGAGGAGAACAACAGCGTGAGTGGACATGTTCTCTCTACACGGTGAATTCAATTAACCCTTGGATGCATAATGGTCACTACAGTGGACAGGTACTCAAATTGTTTGTTTTTTTGTTTGTTTTGTTTTGTTTTTTTGCTATTAAGCACAGCTGTTGAAGACTTTATTGCATTTGAGCCACTCCATTTGGACTTCAGTGAGTCAAGCAAACATATTTCATGTTCAGAATCCACTCAGTGGACTGAGCTGTCCACTGAGGTGGACAAGTAATAAATTATTTGTAAATTATTAAATGTTACAAAAAATATTTGTTGAAATTTGTTTCATTCATACCAAGGATGAATGAAACAAATGGATAAAAAAATCATGGTTGAAGATTTTATAATTCATGCATCAAAGGGTTAAAAATACAAATGGAAAAATAGTAAAAGCTTCTGGAGTTTTTCAACATAATGCAGACCACCTCAGGGACAGGTACTAGAGACGTTTATGTACTCAACCTTTAAAAGTAACCCGTTTGTCTGATTATTAAACAATGAGAGCAATTCCCAGACTCCTGTGCTGTCCTAGCACCCTGCTGCCACTCCTTAAACAAACAAAGGACCAAAATAGAGGCCTCCCCCCCCCCCCCCCCCCCAAACCCAGAGAGGAGATAAAGCATGGGGCATTTCTGGGAGCTGGCCCACGCGGGTATTCCCCCTTTTTTCTCTGGGACAACACTACAGCGATACGTCTGCAGGAAAGCTGCAGCAACCCCGGTGCTGTCGCCCTAACCAGTACATTCCACAGTCAATTGAAACTGTATGGATTGTGACAATAAACACCATGCCGGCTTAGGGGGCCCCTCTCCTCTCACTGGGGGAAGAGAGGGACACTTTACAGTGATTTTAATCCTCTCTACTTTGATCCCAGATGTTAGCAATGCAAAAACATCACAGAAGCCGATAGCCGTCAGCTTCCCAGAAACGGCCGGTTCACACACAGACTGCTTTCCAAGGTTAACGGGTCACAGGTGCAAACAAGAAACTCAGCAGCAGACGTCATGCCGATGTCTCACGTGTACCATAGCTGTCCATACACGAAAACTCCTCATGCGGTCAAAAACTCTGATTCACAAATATTAAAGTCAGGCTTTAAAGTTTCAGATCAGAAAACACATTTCAATATCAGACAACCTGAGTAAAGAGACCCAAACCAACACGTGAACATGTAATTGCCCCGTCGTTAAACCAAGGATTAATTGCAATTAACCCTAATTTTTGGAAAACTGAGTTCAACTTTACCAGCCACACCTGGATCTGATTACTACCAGACCTGAAGAAGTAAGAAATCACTTAAATAGAACCGGTCTGGCATTGTGAAGACGACGAAAAGATCTCAAAAAGCAACACGACGCAGTAACTGCTTTTTCGAACAGACAAGCTTGTTTGGATAGCTTTCCACTCAGATTTTCACATGCCCCATTCACGTTGTTTTTTGTAGCTGTGGACTAATCTTTCATTGTGAACCGAGTTGACATTTGAAGGTCTGAGGTCGTCCAGAGTGACTGGCCCACTGACGGCTTATTGAGCACTCTCACGACCAAATCCAGCCTCAGACATTCTTCAAGCAGTAGCCGAAAATCTACGACTCTGGTCTGCAATCGTCCAATGACAACACACCCAGAGAGTGATGAGTAAAACACGAAAATAGCCGTATCAATATAAGCAAAAATGGAAGGTACACACAGGAACATATGAAGCACTCCTTTTTGGAGCTCAGTTTGAGGTCTAGTAAAAGATGACCTTTCCTCCTTCATTGTTGCCATCTTGGGTATCCATTGGATTTTGGTAAACTATGCTTGTGGCGTTGGCACGACCTTCTACAGCAACCTTTTGACCTGGATGACTCGTTAGCCTTTTTCTGAAAAACTGCAATTAAAATCTTATAATGGCAACCTGAACAGTAATCCAGGTCATGCTGTTATCTCACCGATGCCACAAAAGAACAGGGGGGGTTCATTTTATTAGCACAATAAATGACAAGAAAGGCTGTTTTATAGTCAAGTTCAATAGTGAATTTTTATACCCCTTCCTGATCCATTTATTGCACTTGAAATAAAGCAAACACCATGTGGTAGCTTTGAAGTTGTAGCCAAAAGGCACAAGTAATCGATAATAAATCAGCTAAATACATTTCAGGCGTGATGAATGCTGTTTTGAAGAGAAATTTTCATCTAAATAAATCCATAAACTCACGAAACTCCAAGGAGCTGGCAACCCAATAACCAAACTTCATCCATAAGTGTTGAACAGTAGTAACGTGTGGTTTGAAGACCTCTTGTCGGGTGTTTAGGGAGGGAGAATCAATCAAAACATTTGGACTTTGACTTCCACTAAATATCAGACCTTTAAATCAGACTTTCAATTTGACAGTCATCATTAAGCTTCCTTTTATTCAGTATTTTGGCTTTAGAAACTATTGAGCAAAATGTATCTCTTAGATTTGTTACACATGTTCAAATTTCCATCAACATAAGCATGAGGCTCTGAAAACTTCCATAAGGAAATTAAGAGCCCATTAGGTTTTGAAATTCATCTTGTGAACAATTTTAGCGATTTGAGTTTAATAGTCGTAGCCTGGTTGACATATTTGTTTGAGCTACTGAAACATGAAAGAATTTAATTACATCACTTCCTTCAGGGAATCTTCAGCATCACAGGAGGCTTACTGTGAAACATTTCTGTTTTAAAAGGTGAGCTGTGCACACTTTTGAGGCCTCGAAAGCAGCATCCTTATTTAAATATAAGCGACACAGTGGTGGTACGACTAGGTAATATTGATATTTACAAAAAAAAAAGATGACCAAGTAATTTTTATATTGATATAAATATATGACCGGCAATTTTCTAGAGTTAGCAGGCTTTGCTATCACTAGCTTGCTGCTTGTCCTAAAGGTAGCTTTCCAGGAGCACTACTCAGAGTAACTCGGACTGACGTACAGTAGCTTGGCCCAACCACAGTTTCCACGGCCATGATTCAGTATTTTCCCTCAACTTCTCCACGCCCAATTTTATTCCCTGCTCCAGTGAAGTATTTGGCAAGGCTGAGCTGGGCCGGCTTTGTGATTCTGGCTGCTGAATGGCTAGGGGGCAGAGTCACTGGTTGCTCTGGAGTTCTCTGCCTTCTGTTTCGTTGCCATTTTCTGGTTCAGAGTAGGGCTGCAGCTATCGAATATTTTTGTAATCGAGTACTCTATCGAATCTTTTTTTCGATTAATCGAGTACTCTAATAAATTACCCTTTTGTGTTTGTAAACCTTTATATCATATATTGATGAGCCAAGATGGCGCCGAGTATGGCTGCCTCGTCGCGAGCTCCACCGAGTTCCAACATTACACACTCCATACTGTACATTAATGCCACTGTTTTGCACATACCAACCTCTGTACATTTTATATCTCTTATCTTATTGTTTACTTTATTCATTTGTATACTTAGATTAGCCATTTTTATATTTTACTTGTTTTTACATTACTGTATTTTTGCACAACTCTATTGCTGTGAAACTCGCACACAAGAATTTCACTCTCATGTACTGTACCAGTGTACCTGCACATGTGACGTGACAATAAAAGTGATTTGATTTGATATCAAATAGCATGTTATAATTATGAAAGACCTCTTAAAATGAGCAAGCAATTGCCAGTTATTCAAGTTTTATTCAAAATTAGTTTGCATAACTTCAGCACTTCAACTTTACTTCACAGTAAACAAATGCCTGTGCAAAAAATAAGTAAACCTGAGCCGATTTTCCCCTCGTGCGAGAATCTGCTAGCCTGCAAGTCAGACAAAAACTAGGAGGATAACGCATGCGAGCGGCTTCGGCCCAAACAGAACCAGAACCGCTCACGGCGCAAACAGCTCGCCGGCTGTTTCCCTATTAACACACGTCCGTTTTAATTTCCACACTTTTTTTCTCACACTAACAAGGATTGCCAAAAGCATGTTTGCTGTGGTTTTGTCAAATTATACTGATCACAAAACATGTATTTACTTTCTTTCGTTTTCCTCCGCCACTCATAAATACCCGTGTCCTCCTGCAGAAACCCCGAGGGACAACAGACATCAATAACACAATAAAAAGTCCGACGTGTTGTGTAAAAACTGCTATTTTTAGCACATTTTAAGCCCGACGTGTTGCTACCAGATGTACGGTGTGAGCTGAAACTGAGCGCTACAAACGAAAAAGTCGCAGAGTCCGCTGAAAATATAGAAAAACAGGCCAAAAAGCATTATCTTGTAGAGGCTCCGAGTCCGCTTGCAGAAGTGACATTTACAGGTGCTGCAGCATGGAGGATGTGGTGTTGTGCTAGGCTAAATCCATTTTACTGTATTTATACTGGACTACGTTTTCCACCTTACGACGTGAAAAATGGTTCCACAACTTTGACATTTTCTGTCTTTTTCGCACTCCACCGGGGTTCAAGTTGTCCGCCATGGCTTAAGAGAAAGTTAAGTTATATTCGCTACTCGCGTGTGCATTCAGTCCAGTGGGCATGTGCGTCACTTATTTCGGTCCGGGTGAAACATGACCCCGGGCGATTGCAAAGCCATAAATTAATTAAATATGAATTAAACGAATCCTCGAGGCAGAGAATTTGACTCGAGGATTTTTTGTACTCGAATTATTCGAGGTACTCGAGGAATCGTTTCAGCTCTAGTTCAGAGTTTGACAAAAAGCCATAAAACTGAGAAGAATGTCGAGCAACGCCACCATTCTCGTGCCGAGTTGTGTCTCTGGAGCATACAGGTTACTTTACACTGTTTACTGATCCCCTCACGCAATTTTAAGTCATGAGTAAAAATCACACGTAGACCATCCGCACACCCCCTCTATACCACCATAGCATAATTGTGTGAAAAACACATGATTGCACCACATTACCTCCAGAGGCTGACCACTTATTAATGACTACTGGTTCCCTGATGCCACCTCAGCTTGCGGCAAAGTGGTGCCATT